GCAGCCCAGGATACGGTTGGCTTTCTGGGCTGCGAGCGCACACTGAAGCCGGCTCATGTTCATTTTCTCATCGAAAGCTTACCCATGTACATCAGAGCGTACTTACGTAAAAATTATTTCATAAGCCTAGAGGTCCTCATAGAAGACTTTTGACTTGATGCTTTATCTGAACATGTAACATGTCTGACTTGTCTCTATCTCCTGTGTTCCGCTTTGGGGCCCTCAGCCTAAGAAGGACTTGGACCTGCTGGAGTGAGCCCAGAGGAAGCCACAAAGAAGCTCAGAGGGCTGGAGCACCTCTTCTATGAAGACAGGCTGAGAGAACTGGGGTTGCTCAGTCTGAAGAGAAATCTCTGGGGAGACCTTAGTGCAGCTTCCAGTGCCTAAAGGGGCCAACAAGAAAATTGGAGAGGGACTTTTTAAAAGAGCAAGTAGGGACAGGACAAGTGGAGAAGACTTTAGCCTGGTGGAGGGGAGATTTAGATTAGATATTAGGAAAAAATTCTTCACTATGAAGGTGCTTAGACACTGGCACAGGTTGCCCCATCCCTGGAAGTGTTCAAGGCCAGGCTGGATGGGGCTTGGAGCAACTGGTCTAGTGGAAGGTGTCCCTGCCCCTGGCAGGGGGCTGGAACTGAATGACCTTTAGGATCATTTGAAAAAAAGATGTGATCCCATCCCTTCACTCAGACTTGCTGTTTTAGCTCCTTACACTGCTCTGCCAAAGCTTTCTAAAAGCTGTGAAGGAAAAGGATAGGGGAAAACCAGGACACTTCCAATTTGTGCAGCAACTCACCACTACTGAAATACCTTGTAGAACTAAGAATTCAATTGTGACTATAGACCATAAACTTTCAGAAAGAGCATTGTTAGTATCACAGAGCAGCCTGTAGCCTTAATGAGGGGACAAAATGCCTGAAATTTAAGAGCTGCCACAATAGTTTTGAGAGCACAATTCTGGCAGTCCACATTGCTTGATGTGTGTGAATGCTAAGGAAGTAAAACCTCCCAGGATAGTGTAATGAAAGGGAGATAAACAAGCAGCATCTCATCCACACTGCCCAGAAATGACTCCCAAACTATTCCAAAAGCACATTTGAGTTTTATCTTGGAGAGAATTAGTCCATTCAATCCAGAATACAGCCCAGAAGGAAGTAAAACAGTGTGGATAAAATAAAAAAACTGGTTTGCTAAGTTAAATAAGAGAACAGAGCTGGTTTTGATTGCTCAGAAGGGTCTCTATGTCAAGAGATTGTTTCTCCCATTAGAATGAAAACCAGATGAGTAATTTGTTATTCATATTCCAAATACTATTAGTAACACACATTTTTTAATAAACAAGCATGAGATCCTCTATATGCATCACTATGAGAAAATATTATTTATCGCTGCTGGAGAGACTGAGGTATTGTCAATATTTCAGGTTCTTGTCAATATTTCATGGTTCTTCTTTGAGCACATTAACATTTAACACCCCCTAATTAGTTTCCTTTCAAACTACATTCCTGCTTTCCTAATTAGAGGCTAACATCCTTCTTTAATTGACAAGTTAAATTATTTTACTTCTTTGCTTTTTTAGGGCAAGCTGGTAAAAGCACTTTTCCTGAGGCGAAATAGAAATGCTTTTATTCCATTTTCACTTGGTCTGAAAAGGTAAAAAAACCTTATTTATCTTCAGAATAATTTGTTGTTACTAAAAGGAAGGAAGCTCTCCCTGAAGCCCACCACTTTGTGGTTTTTAGTTTAATGATAAAAACATCTTCTGAAGTATAGAAGAGTAAGCTCATTAGTAGCATTTCAGTTTTCTCTGCTGCAGAAGCCTGGAGGAAAGAAACCTTAATACAAAATATCTGATTCTAACACAGAAGTTTACATCATAAACCAAATTATAGCATCCAATTATATGCAATCTTTATATCTGGAGTGAGGCTTTCTCTGTGTTCATTCTGAAAGAGGCTTGATCTTAATTGGCTTTATTGGTTTTATTCTTTTCCACCTCTGTTGTGAATTATTATTGCTGTAAACAGTGAGAAGCTGAAAAGTGGTATTTCAAGGTAGATTTGGAGAACATAAACAAGTCTTTATGAATGTCATGAATCTCTTTAATTATCTCTGAGCAACATAATGAAGCAGTCTCTTACTGTAGACAAGACTAATGTATTTATACAAAAATAATTAAAAATAACATGTTTAAATTAACTAATAAGCTTCCCCTAAGAGCCATAAGCAATCCATAGTGGCAAATATAACTAGTGTATGTCTATATTTCTAATTAAGTTGATTGAAGAACTTTAGGGTTTATATTTACTTTTAGGTTTCAGATTTGCAGGTTCTCATGGAGTAGTGAACAGAGTTACACTGCTATAGCAGGAGACTACAATATTCAATGTGTTCCTGTTTAATGATATACTATACCAGTATACAACACTTATTTGTGAGAAATGCATTGATTATGCACCACACATATTGTAAAAGAAACCAAATTAGAAGAAATGGAGTGCACACTTAAATTGGATGTATACATGGAGAGCAACTGAAGCAAATTTCTACCAAGAAACCCCTTCCAAGTTCCTGGAACACAAAATTCATAAAAATTCATATGAATAAGTTTATCTTATGAGAGAAACCCACATAAAGCCAAAAATATGCATCATCCATACATCAGATGTGGATTTGTCAAAAAGATGATCACAGAAGAGTTAACCGATCTGAAAAAGAAATTCTGCTCTGTACCTCGTCTGGTCATTTCCCCTTAAACCTATGAGTAAATCCTCATGGATGCCATTTAAAAGAACTGCATTTCTTAAAGGCAAGAGGACAGATAGAGCCATTACATTTATAAAACAAATGAAAGAAAGAAACCTTTGTTTGGGACCCCGTCTCCCACAACCAGCACAGCAAATGAGATGTGTTTTTCTATTTGAATTCTCACTTTATCTGATTTACACTTATCTGTTGCTTTAATCAATCCCTAAAGCATTTAAAAACACAATTAAAAATAAATACTTCAGCAAATATTCAGCTAAAATTTCATAGCATTATAGTAACTGCAAAAAATATCTACAATATTTATGATTTCTGGCAAGACTCTTCCCAGTCCTTTAAAACTCAGTAGAGTGACTGGGCACTGCGATATATCTTCTATATCAATAAATGATTAAAGAAACAGATGGTATAAGTTCCATAAACATTTCACACAAAAAAAGACATGCCAATGTTTTTCCTTATAAGGAAAAGCCAGCCTTAGGCAACCCTGGATGCTAACTTTAGCAGCATTATTTTGGAGAAAAACAACCTTTAAGAAAAGTAGATTTTGTGTCATTTTTAGCTTGATGAGCCAAAGGTCACCTTGTGTTGGATGTGGCTGTTTAAGACAGCTGTCAGTTCAGCTCTGACTTCTAGATGCCTTTGCATCATGTCAGAATATTTAGCAAACTGTGACCTTCATGATCATCTTTTCCATTCTCTCCCATTATTTCCCCTCATCTGGGCACATGAGAAGTAGGAACAGCAGTAACACAGTATTCCCTTGTTAACTCAGAATCTTAGACACTGTTTTTACTCAGCAAAAAGCACAAAAATACCACTTTCTATAAATTGGATGTTTTGCTCTCTCTTTGTTTGATGACAAATTGTACAAAAATAAGTACTATGAGAGTAGGAAGACATAAACGAAACCTGAACTGTGAAAATAGATAAAGGAGCTAAGGAAATCACCAGTGTTGTGAGGTTAAGAACCTCCCTGGACAGGTTTCTGCTGCAACACCAAGCATCACCATAGCGGCCAGGACTTGCGTGGAGCCACATGAACCCACCCATGCAAAATGGTCACAACATAAGCATTATATCCAACATCTCTCTTCCCAGATAGAGCTGTGGAAGACTTTGGCCTTTCTCCCAGTACTGCAGAAAAATTCTAATGCCATTTGTACCCATTAAGCTCATGGCTAGTATTTGCAGAGACATATAAGCAGTACTCAAACCTGCATGGCTAAGAACTGACAATACTTTTGGGCACAAGTAAAAGGACAACAGCTTTGTGGATTTCTACCAGCTTTCATGAGCCAAGTCCCACTTTTGCATCTATTCCTCCCCTCCCACAGGCCAGAGTTAGGTCTTTGCTAAGATAGGCCACAATTAAACCAAACACTACTTTTTTACTGCTATTCCCCCACCTAATGCCTTGACTCGAGCCCCTGAAGCAGTCTGCAACCCTGTGTCCTCCCACACCAGCCCCTGCACACTCATCCATGCAGCTCTGACTATGACAGAAGTGGAACACAAAAGGCCCCACCGGTCCCTACAGTCAAAGGTCAGTATGTTTCCTAAATCCAAGTAAAATGGTATAATAAAATATATCCAAATGTGCCCTTAAAAAGGCCACTTTGGCAAAACAAAAACTCACCCAAGCCTCTAGCAGTGCAGATAGTCAAATAAAACACATTCCAGCCACAAGTATGTACTTGGAGATCATTATACCAAATGACAGGAGAAGAAGCACAAAAAGCCCAGGTGTCACAGCTGCATAAGCATCTCCAAGACTTCCAGAGCAACAGCATAGCCAGCTTAGCCCTTCACTGCTATGAGGCCTGAAGCCAAATTCCAGAAGAAAAGGCCTCTTTTCCCCCCTCTTCTGCAGTCCCCAGGGTACCTTCGAAGGCTCACTGATCCTTTACAAGGAATGGTTCGTGAACACCAGCTTAGAAAGAACGATTCAGAGGAAATCTAGAGGGTGCATGTACAGCTCACAATTCTACCCCTCTACCTCAATAAATAGTATTAAATTCTCATGCACAGGTAACAGGAAATACTTGTAAGAATAAACGTTCTAGAGTAAAACATCTATTTAATAAGCTTTTCCTGTCCACTATTTACATACAATAGAGCAACTGCTAGACTAAGATGAAAATGAAAATTTGATGTGCAAAAAATATTATGTATTTTATATAAATAATTTTTAATTCTAATTAAAATGTAAGTCTTCAAATGGGCTCACTTACTGGATGTTTGGCTGAAAGTCTGCCAGTCGCAGTTCCTGTCTGATTCCATGTAGAGGAAATAAATCCCTGTAGTCAAGTAAAGTAAACCCCCCCCCAAGAGAAAAGGGTGAAGACATATATCTAAATCGTATTTAACGTAAGTATCAGTAATAAAAACTCACTGAATCAGGAGTAAATAAATCAAAAAGAAATATTCAGAATCTTCTGTATTTAAAAGTTCCTAAACTGTAACCACCACACTCATTTCACATCCTTTTAAGATTTATTTGAAATACCGTATTTTATAGGCTACTTTTTCTGTTTCTACCTTTCTCATGCATGTTCGGAGTCCATCCACATAAGTTGATTTCATCTTATGAACCTAAATTATTACACAAAAGTTCAGATAAATGCTAATTTATAAAAATAAGAGATTTTTCAAGTTTAAGATCTTAATTTCAAAATGCATATTAATTTGTTTAGTAGACTTTTGTAAAATGATAGTTTTATCTTAGTAAATGATGGATGCATACTCACTAATAGCTTGACCTATCAGCGTAACTGAGGTAAGTACTTGGTTATACCTTAAAGCCAAATTTTTGCAATACTTAATGAATTACTGGAATTTATTGCTTTACATCTTATACCCCAGGTCAATAAACTACACAAAAAAGGGCACGCATACACACAAAGGTACCACCCACACCTTTTGGGGGGTTGGTTTTGGTTTTTAGTCTTAGAAACATACCCACTGAAAAGCCAAACATGAAGTGTGAGAGCAGACTAACTACGTTACTTTGAAATTTTACCAAAAATTCCCCCCATAACTAGTTTTCTTCTTCACTTTCAGTGGAGGATTTCCTCAGAACTCAGCAAATAAATGTTTTGCACCAAGAATGTGTTTTATAGCACTTCACAAATTTAGCAGTGGAGATCTGTTATTGTTTTTGCAACAGTTGTTTGATGGCTACAATCTAGTATCTTGCAAACCAGAAATATAATCATTAAATTTACAAACTCTTGATACCTACAAATTCAAAATTTAAATGAATATTTGACTGAACTTACATTACAGCCAACTTTTTTGTATCTATTTAGCCATGAATATGTTCTCTTTCTTGCTAATTTTGCCTCAGTGCAACTAAATTATATGACAAATATCAGCTCACCTGACGGTATTCTAAAATTATCTTAGGCAAAGGATGAAGATCTTGCAACTGCTTTAGCTGCAAAATAAAGCATGTAAATTACTAGCATACTTTTCTGTGAAGTTATGTTATTTAACAATCTTAACAAAATAAGTTTTGGAGGAAGAAATATTCTCGCCAAGATGAAATAAATACTGGCTAAAAAATAACGTCTTTCAAGCAATCTCAGTCTAGGCCCAGGAAGCCTCCATTCTCCCCTGCCTTTAGCAGGAGGGCTGGAGCTTACTCGTTCCCGACATTCACCTTCGTGTCCCAGACAGAGACAAAAAGACATACAGACATAAAAACTTCTCCACAACATTTCTGAAAACACTGGAGCATTGGCGGAGGTGAGGGGGGGGAGTGTTCTTTATGGTCCTTGGTTTATTTTTTGTGATAGAGCACATCAATGCAAGAGAGGATACAATAAAAGTATACAAAATAATACATATATAGACACATACGTATTTACATGCACACAAAATCCAACAGAACTTCTCCTTTTCATTCCCTAATATAAGTTCTAGAACTTCAAGAAAAATTGAAATTGTTAAATCCAAAAGCAATGAGATAAAGCATATTTCTGACATTACTTTGATTGTAAAATGCTATAAAATTTTGAAAGCAAAAAGAAAGAAATTATTAAAATAGAGACTGGATATTAATAAGTACAACAAAAATATCTGGACCTACAACAGTTCAGGGTGAAAAATAAACGGAACCCTACCAGAATGGAGATTTAAAGGCAATTTTTTTCCTTGCTCCCAGGGAGAGACAACATATTAATTCTCTAGTACTTCTCTATTGGAAGGTTTCAGCCTACCTTTATCTGAATAACTCAGTCTTAGCAGCTGTTGGAAAGAGTACTGAGCTAGATAAAAGCCTTGCTTTGATAACTGCAACACATCTTATATTCCCAGAAAAACATGACATGCATTGTATTTCATTAATCCCTCCCACCTCACCTCCCAAGGCTCTCTGTCACCCTCCAAAATTACGTTTGATCTATGAAACCTCCTACTCCTTGAGCAACATGTGGTTTTTACAGTTATACTGTTGACATTATCTCAGAGATTGTATATGGTAGTTCAGACACTTGGCCCAAAAGCTGAATTTTCTCTTTCACACATAAGAACAAATACTACCTTTGTACCTTCTCCAGAGGTGTCCGTTCTCAGCAATGAGTTGAGTACTTTTATTTGACTCCCATGTAAACTAGAACAATACAACTGCAGCACCAAGTCAGAAACAGGTACAGCTGCATAAAGGCTCCACTTGCCTCAAGTTACCAAGAAGTCTGCAGTTTGGCTTTGACTTCATTTTCAGACAAATATTTTGCCAGGTTTCTGCACTTGTGTGGAATCACACATGAATATCTGCATTGCTGACCATTATCTGCTCCAACACTAACAGAACAGGAAAAGGTTCATGTGGGCAATTTATTGCACTGAATCTCTTGTACAGGCATATCAAAATATCTAAACTGTTTAGTCATTATTGCTTGAAGGGAGCAAGAATCTCTCAATGCCCTGCAGATTTAACTCCAAATGCAACCATTCTTCCTGAAGACGAGCAACTCCATGGAGGAAAACAAAGCTTGAGGAAGATTTATGCAGACAACAAGAATAACGCTGGACCATACAAAGAAGGTGACAACTCTGCATTCAAACCACAGGTATCAATTAATTTCCTACAGAGCTCTTTAGCTAACATGAACAAATGAGATAAGGCTCCATAAAAAGATGACAACATAGTTTTAGCCCAAATCTCCTGACAGCAAAGAGGAAGTCTGGGTTGGTAGTTCTTTCACCAGCAGATTTTACATTAATGTTCCTTTCTTTCACCAGTAGTGTTTTTCACCCAACTAGTCGGTTATACCAAGCTACCAAAACCTGGCCAGCCACAAAGTCTCCCTCCTTTGAGGAAGACAGTCATGATGGTACTAAAGTTTTTAACTCCAGTTTATAGCTAATGTTTAATATCAGTAGCTAGTTTGGTTTTCCTCATCATAGAATGCAACTTTCATTTCTGGCATGAGTAAATGAAGTGTGATTAGTACAATACAAAAATAAATCAAGACTGCTAGGAAAATCTCAGACAAATGACATTTTCACTGGAATAGAACTTAGAAGTTTTGCTAAATCATGAAGGTGGTTTTAAAATCCCTCCCCATCTCACCACAACTTCCGAGGTGGACACAAGCTGTTGTATTTCAGTTCTGTGAACCTTCTCACACAGTGTATGCAGTTTTAACTTTTCAAATAGTATCTACAATGAGAAAAACACAGAATAGAAATGTTTCAGTGTTTGGTTACTGAGTTTAAGCCTCAAAAACAATCTTCAAAGAAAATAAAGCATGCTGTAGCAACGAGAGCTGTCACAGAATTGAAAAAACCCAAATGTTTGTTTTTGAGCTATGAAAAAAGTAGCATATTTACTAAATTCACACACATAATTGATGTAAATACATTCAAATACAGGTTATCCAACACTGACAGATGTATGACAAGCTGATACCACCCATTAAAATCAGAAAATCATAATTAATATCAAAGAAAGAATTTTGAAGTTGTGAGGAAAATTTTATATCTTTTATAATACTTTTGCATTTACAAGCTACAAAATAACAGTAGTATAAATGCTACCTCTCTGAGCTGACTACTACTGGTCACAAGGAATCGTTCTCCAGCGACTTGATGAGCTTCCTGTTCAAGTTCTTTGAGTCGCAACTACAAATTAGTACATCAGAATTATTCTGTTCACATTCTTACTTTGGTCTGCTACTTCCTAGGTTGAGTAGATCAGACTTCTATTTACAAAGAGGGCACTTGGTAATGTGAAATCATTGCTGGCTATCAGCATTTGGCTTGATTTCTTAAACCCTCTTTAATCTGTATGTCTTCATGATCTGGGAAGGGGATTTATCATAGTAAAAAGTACCAAAACTTGTGGGAAAACAAAGACTATAGTGATCTCTGAGAAACAGAGCTATGGGAATTTTTCTGGTAAATTAATAATCTGTCAGACCACTATGATTACCTAGTCAGATTTTATGCTACAAAATAGGATTCTCTTGTAGCTACTCTTCATGGGGAAATGGCAAACTTAGATCTCTCAGGACACCTAAGCTGTAAAGAGTGCTTTATTTACAAAGATGGAAATATTTATTACTTCTGAAGAAGATAATTACTGAAAACTGTGGGTTCAGAAAAAGTCATTACAATTTTTACTCTACAACACATAACCCAAAAGGAACTGTTCATTTTGCAAAGCAATCTCAGTTCTGGGGCAAGGCTAATGAAACAAATATCTCTTGGAATTATCCTCAAGTGCAAATATAATTAGTTATACTTACAATAATAAGAGTATAATAAAACACTAGAAACCCTAAACTGCTATATAAAATGTGACAAAACAGACTCCTCCTCTTTTTGAATCAGTTATCCTCAGTAAAAGCAGCAAGATGATGCTATACAATTTGTAAATGAAAAAATAAAGGCAAAATTTACCCCCAGAATCTCTGATGTTTTTTTCAGTTCATGTTTGTTCACATGTATTTTGTGTGTTTCCATCACTGTAAATACAATTATATATATACTGAGAACATTTACAATTGACAGTTTTGATTTTACATGCTTCTTAGACTGTAAAATGGGAAGTCAGACACACACAGGTGCCATGAGGCTGACATACTGTTTAGTACCCTGAGGTATAACATCCTACTTGAGCATAGTCAGCAGCTGTGTGAAAACAGTGTATTTTGAATTGAACTTTCATACCTGCCAGAATTTTGAGAAGGGGAAGCTCTAACGTGCAAAATAATTGCCACAAACCTTGAACCTGTAAAGCAAGATACGAATAAAATCTTCAGTAACAGCCAATTTTAATCTTAAAAGGCATAGTTGTGTCATTATGTGGCTCTATTTTCCAGTAAGCAGTATTTCACTTTCTGTATAATCCCCTTTAATATGGCAAAACTATTTATGCAATTAAATACTACTTAGTGTGAATAAAAGTCTAAATACTGTAGCCCATTATCACTTCAGTTTAGCAGCAATACATTTTGTAGTAGTAACCATTTTGTATGGGAACAGTAATAAGAAAAAAATAATAATAAGAGGAGAAGTTTCTTCTGAGTTTAACCTTGAGACTTAACCATTTCCTCCTTCTGGAAAAGATGGCAAATCTGATGGGAAACTTTATTTTTAATGTTGACCAGCAGTGTAAACCAATAAGGATTGAAAGCTCCTACTTAATTCTAGTAAATAGAATTCATTCATTCTGATCTGAATGAGAAGCACATCACTAACTCTCCTTACTTCATGACAGTGCCTCTAAAGTTATACTTGAATAACTACTTTTTATATCTTACCTGTAAGTCATGAGCAAGGTCCATCATTACATTATAAAGCTTCTGCAAGTTCACACCTAAGTTTTGATACTGATAAAAAATAAATCAACAGTCTTAATGCTAACATAAATATTTAGAATACTATTTTGAACGTGTTTAAACTATATATTTTTCGGTACATCTCCTCTTATATTTAATACTTTATTAATGTTCTTATACCTCTGAGAAACACAATTTATGTACAGAGTAGAACAGAACATGAACATTCAAGATTTTACCTGTTCCTTGATTCACATTTTGCACAGACTGTGTACGGATATATGAAACAGGGTCGCTATATTGCCTTTGACATTGAAGGCAGAATTCTATTGCTATGAAATGAAAATAAATGTTATTATTAAATGAGGAAAACTTCTTTGCAAATTTCTTCTTGCAGTCCTCGTCATCTTCAGGATGACTCTCAGAACCTTGTGGTTGTATTCCTAGGGAGCGAAAGTCGGCATGGATTGAGACACCAGTACATCTAATCACTTGATCCCATGCCCTCTGGTGCAAGAGTCAGCTGTACATAAAGAGATAAACATAATCGATCCTCCAAACAGCGTGTGAAAATCTGCCTCACACACAAACCTCACAATTTTGGCCTAGTGTCTGCAAAACTGCTCCACTATTGGAAGAAAGACAAAAGTCTGGAACCAAAGCATTACAGCAGATGCAGAATGACAAGAGCAATGCTTCATCCATTATTTGATCCAAACAGAATGCAGAAGGAATCCAAATTACTTGTTGCTGCACAAACACAACAGAACCAGAACTGACTGAAAATCAGCTTATTTTAGGGCAAATTGTAACACATTACTGTAATAGAGCTGTGCATTCCAGTGCACAGCTGGGGAAGAGCCGTCACAGGAACTCTATCATATTGGTCCCACTGATTTTTAGAAGTGCCAATTGTAACAAAAGAGTGGGAGACAACGACTAGTTACAAGAACTTATATTTCATGCTAAAACGAGAATTACCCAAGTTCTGGAGTAATCTTTCCTACAGACATTTTCCTACCACATACGATATGAAGACAGGCTGAGGAAGTTGGGGCTGTTCAGCCTGGAGAAGAGAAGGCTGCGTGGAGACCTCATAGCAGCCTTCCAGTATCTGAAGGGGGCCTATAGGGATGCTGGAGAGGGACTCTTCATTAGGACTGTAGTGACAGGACAAGGGGTAACGGGTTAAAACTTAAACAGGGGAAGTTTAGGTTGGATATAAGAAGGAAATTCTTTCCTGGTAGGGTGGTGAGGCACTGGAATGGGTTGCCCAGGGAGGTTGTGAATGCTCCATCCCTGGCAGTGTTCAAGGCCAGGTTGGACGAGGCCTTGGATGATATGATTTAGCATTAGGTGTCCCTGCCCACAGCAGGGGGGGGTGGAACTAGATGATCTTAAGGTCCTTTCCAACCCTAATGATTCTATGATTCTATGATTCTATGAATATAACAAAGGGGCACTAGTGTTGCAGTCATTCAGAATGCGCTCAAGCCTGGACCATAGCTGTTTTTATCTTGTAATGACCATATAATTCAAGATAACAGCAGATAAAAACTAAACAGATGTCTGTTAGTGTGAAGCATGTCCCAGCAGAGCCCCAGCAGCGGGAAAGAGTTAAAAAGGGGTAATGAATTCCCACGACAGTCCATGCAGGTTACCCATCTGCTCAAGGACTATTAGTCTATGCAACTTCAGCACTGGTTGTGCTGGTCATTTGTGAGTAGACAATATGGACACCTACTGGTACAAGCTTCCCTTCAGCCTATAGCAGGCTTTAATACTGCAAGACTGAGAAAAAGTAGACCCTTGAAGGTAGGATGCAGAGAGCTCTCTCCAAAGATGAAATATCGACATCCACCAGGGGTCATCCTTGTTTTATAACAGTCTAGTCCTGTCCTACCAGTCAGGACTTCTCTCCACATCAAATAGATTAATATAAGCAGGCCTATACTGCAGTGAAAAGCCCTCAAGCTGTCTCCAAGAAACCTTGTCCATATCCACTGGTTCTGGAACAAAAGAGTTGCCTGTGAAATATTATGGTTTGAGCAACAGACAGCTTCCTTGATCCCATTCTGGAGGTGGAAGTAAGACCAATGACAGGCTTCAGTGACACCAAGATTCCTTATCAGCAAATGCAGTAATGATAAGAACAGTATGATGCGTAGCACCTCTTTCAGCAAAAGTTTCAAGGTATATGGACTATGACCCCTTTAACTGAGCCTTTTGGCACAGCAGCAAATATAAAGACAAGCAGCAAGTAGCACATCTTCTGTGCTGCAGAGGTGTGTGGGTGAGTAGCAGGCTACAGGATAAAATAGCAGCCATTTCAAATACCATGCGGGTGGACAGGACTAGTACAATACAGAGGGAGCTTAACTGAAAGAGTGGTGCACAAGACATATCACCTGACACAGATCCCTCTTGGAGTACAAACAACTGTTAGGAACCCACCAGTAAAGTCAGAGCAAGAAGGTTGAAGAGAAAAATCTGGCAAAGAGTTAGCATTCATGGAAGAACTGGGACTCACTGAGCAAGCAGAGAAGCCAAAGAGAAAGTGGGAGAGTTCAAGGAACAAATTAATTGCATAAGTACTGGGGAGGGAATAATCACAGGATGTTAGAGGGAGGCATTAACTGGGATTTGGATGAAAAAGTCAGCATAAGGCACTGGAGATGGCTGGGGAAAGGAAACAAACTAGACCTGAAGTGGGACAGGAAGGAAATAACAATTCAATATTTAACTCAGAGCTGGGAATCAGCATGACAAAGTTGAGAAACTATAACTAAGAATAGATGTGATATATGAAGAACAAGAGACTGAGTCAAACTAATGAAAGAGACAAGATTAAGGATGCTGACTCTCAGAAGGGGACATCACATACAGAAATAACCAACAAATTCATAGCTTCTGCCAGTTCGCCTGTCCATTCCCTACACTAATAGCTTAGCCCATAAACTTCTAAACAACTGCAGTTTACAGCTACTGTTTTAAAGTAAATAGTTCTGGTCTCTCAGAAATATCTACACTGATGGGTATATGCCGATACAAGTGAGCTCTGTGCATGCTGTAAGTCCACTTGACATCTGGATTTGTGACCTAGAAGCCTGAACAAGTCTGAACAGTCTGAACAAGTCTGAACAAGCAAGGCCTCTGAAGTGACCAGTTTCAAAAACCACCACTGAGGCATTGCACATCTATTCTTATCATTCAAGTGACATCTGAAGGCCAATATGGTCAGAGTAGATATGAAACACAAAATACAAACACCAAAATTTTACACTATTCAGTAAGTAAGTTTCAACAGACAGTAAGATATCTTCACAGTGCTGAGAATAACCTCCCAAAAAGCACATTTTCTCTTTTTGAGAATAAAAATACACTGTTTTTTCATACACATGCTTGAAGGTTCACATTTGACTCCCTACTGTTCCTCAGCCTATGATGTGGTGCCTTTACCAGCTGTGAAATTCAGCAAAATTGTTAATAACAAGTAACTACATACAGGTTGCAAATTCACAGGAATTACAGAACAAGGCATTAGACAGACATTTTGGAAAGGAAAGCTGGAAATCGGTTTGCGGGGAGGTGGAAAGCAAAAGGATGAGATTGCATATTCATTCACATTGGTACTGAACTTTCAGGTTTTGAAGGAGAATTTTACAGCTGTTCTGGAAAGTATGATGCCATCCTGGCAGAATGAAGTGAACCCTCCTTCCCTTCTCCCCTTTCTTTAAAATTAAATTTCCAACAAGTAGTATTAATACAGTAATTTTCTTCCGTCAGGAGAAAGGCATTATGTGATTTTCTTTCTGCAGTATTTTGTAAGAAAAAGTAATTCTTTCATCATTTCCTTCCCCTTTTTACCCAACCACAAGCAACTGAAAACAAACTACTTACTGATGCATTTCTCAAAGTGCCTGTATCTGTATTTATTGTTCCCACAGAACAAGGATTTTCAAAATACTTCTGGATTAAACATTCAAAAGAGGGAACTGTGTCGCTGGGGTTTATCAGCCACGCTGCAATCCTGGGATCTAACACGACACTATCGGCAACTACAAAAAGAAGTTATTTTTGTCAATCAAAATACTTCAGCTACATCCCATACTGAGAAATACCTCTAAAGTGCTGCCCATCTTTCCTGTAGACACCCATCATAAATAGACAAGCATTTACACTATGAAAATGTTAAAACACTGAATTTGCACCTGTAACAATCAGTATCATGACTACATAGGAATAGCTCAGGGCAGTGGTGGAATCACCGTCCCCAGAAGTGTTCACAAACCATGTAGATGGGGCCCTTAGTGACATGGTTTAGTAGTGGACTTGGCAGTCCTGAGGTAAAGGTTGGACTTGATGATCTTAAAGGTCTTTTCAACCTATTGGATTTTATGATTCTAAGCAGAAAAAAAAAAAAGAAGGCAAACATAAACATTACATCTTCTGTTTGTAGTTGCTTTAAATCCATACAAGAAAGTCTTAATTTGTTCCTGTCAAAAAAACAAGGATCCCTTTAAGTAATTCCCAATTCTGACAACTATGAACACCTCTGGAATTTATTTTAGCCTTTCCTCTTGAGCAGAGAGTTTTTCTAGGGAATGTGAAAGATGAAGCAGTTTGACCTTTTCAGCTCCAGTCAGGACTGTGTTGAGAGGTTTTGTTACCACTAGAAGCTATGCTTAAATTATTCAATGATTTGATTCCTACTCTGAGAAGAAATACATCATCTTGACACGCCAAGCCTCTGGTCACAACCTCCCCCAGGAAGGTTTCTCCTTTCCACCATACTAAAACTGTTTTTCCATAAATTACTTAACCACTAATCTAGTTACTTCACCTGGTGATTTTAACAGAAACATCAAATGCACAGAGATGACAGGATTAGATCATAGATTAGGTAGTTACCTTGTTTCCAGCTAATTTCATTAGCATAAACTTGAAGTAAAGTCCTCAGGAAATCTTTTGCATTGAAACAAATAATTGGAACTTTGCAACGCAGCATTTGAAACAACACCTCCCTGAACAGAAGCAGTTTGTTAATGCACACTGTATCACTACTAGATTTAGTGAATCTACTTACTTTATACGTTTAATTACCACCTCTTACTAAACAGTTAACACATTTCTTTATTCCTGCAAGAACAGTACATTGTATTTGAATATTAAATTCTCAATTCATTAATACTGAGACTTCATTCTATAATAAACCAAACACCATAGCAGATATGCCTTAACATGCATTCATAAAGAAAACAAATCCTATTTGATACTCAACATTAAATGCAATCTTAATCCTAAACAGCAACTGGCACCCCTGTAATACTTTAATATATGCAAATAAAATCACAGAGGCTTCTGAATTAATTTAGTGGTATAAAGTGGTATTTCAAGTAATCTTTAAATCATGATTAGACAATATAAATTGCCATAATTGCCTAGTGTTCATATACTATTTAAATTCAGAATACTTCATCTATGTCACATTTTTCCATTCCTTTTGAAAAGGTCTATAGTTCCCACACTATTTTAAATCAATCTTACCAACTATATCTATCAGTATATAGATTTACTCATTATTTATGTTACTTTTATAAGGTTTTGGGGGCAATATAGAAAAATAGCAATTTTTTTATGGAGCTTTCAAGTTCATTTTTCTTTGGTGGTATGAAACCACAGTTCCAAGTGTTTGGTAGTCAGAAGTTGTGTAGCTCATAAGATATTACTGTATACAGAGTAGAGCCACTACTATACAACCACACTATTCCAACAACTAATAATTACCTATGGGTTTCATCTAAATGCTAATACACTTATTAACTTATTATTGAATTTTCACTCTTCATATGTACCTGCTTTATTGATATGTTATTCTCAATTCAGAACAACCTCTATTCAAACTAACAAGTTATTAAACCAGTTGTCATATAACTCCAGTATTACAGCTAAAGAAGTATAAGGAAATTATTTGGTTAAAGTCACAGTGGAGCAGTGGCAGAGATGAAATTAATAATTGAGTCCAACATCTTGAAAATGAATGCTTTGTAATTTAATAACCCAAATTCAGCAGTTTACAAGAAAGCAGTTAGTATTGAAAATCATAACACATTCTAATGAAGTTTTAACGTGTGACTATTATATCTAAGAATCAGATTCAGTTCTCATGTCTCCCTTTATGGGATGCTATTTCAAAGTTAATAGTAAGAACAAAAATGGATTTTGCTTATATTAACTGGAAGTTTATTACACAGCTACATAAAGCATTTACTTTAAAAAATGATCTTGCAATTCTGATGTAACATTATTACTGAATATTAGAAAAATTTTATTTGGGATCTCAAAAGCCAGTGAAAAGGCCTATGGTGTTCAAAAAACTTAAAATATCAGGAAAGCTCAAAAAGGATATTTACTGTAATAAAGTCCATCAGAAATGTACCAGGTAAGAAATTCAGTTCAGAAAACGGAAAACAAGCTACAAGAAAGAGAAACCTGTACAAAACATATTTTGTGGTGCCACATAGCTATAAGCTGTTTATAAAGGATTACTTGGTGAATATAAACAGCTCCTGTCAGAATCCCAACCTAGATCTGCAGGGCCGCAGTTAGCGGCAACAGGTTGCCAACGGGGGTTGTGGAGCCTCCTACATTGGAGATATTCAAGGCCCGCCTGGACAAGTTCCTGTGTGATGTACTCTAGGTTACCCTGCTCTTGCAGGGGGGTTGGACTAGATGATGTTCTGAGATCCCTTCCAACCCTTGGGATTCTGTGATTCTGTGATATGCTGAGCCCAAAAGAATAATCTATTCTTATTTGGTTTATATTAGCCCAAATTTGCCACAGGACTCATTCAGCTAATTCAGTCTCCTTACACTCATTAAGCCTGTGCCATGTAACCTACATAACTGTTGTTAAAAGCATACGTAAAGCAAAATAGTACTTTTTTCCTATATATTCTCACCAAACGAATCTCTCATGAGCCTGCTGTGCTTGTTGCCAAAGAGATAGCCATTCAAGTCTCAAATAAATTAATTTATCATTTTCATTAGCAGCATTCCAAGTACAGTCAGTTGAAGAGTAACTGGGAGGGCAAGGTTGACCAGTCTGCTTCTTCACTAACACAACAAATCCTTTTACTGATGAGGTTAAGACCTGTTAAGAGCAATGACAACAGTGTTTCCTCTGACAGATTTTATGTGAGCCTGTAAAGAAAATGTCTCAACTTTGCAATATGAAACCTATTTATGTACATGAGAGTTACTGCATCCAACACTGACACAGTAGAAGAGCATGCAACTCTTTCAGCCTTGAAATAAAAAGCCAGTCACAGAAAAAGCAAAAAGTAGGAATACTCCAATTCAGTCTCACTTCAAGTACACAAATGCCTGTTTAGCCCAAGCAGCTTCATTCCTTTTTTATTTTAGATTTTACTTGGTAACTAAAAATAAAATGCAATCAGAAGTATTAATGTTTACCTCATTTTACATTTGAATATTTTGTATTTGAACTGGCCCAGTTTCCAGGCTCCTGATGAACATGGGAGTCACACACACAGTTCAAATGTTTCTACAAACTTGACTCTAAACAAAACACATCTCTCACTAACCTGCTCTGAGTTGAGCTGTGAAGAACCATCTTGAAATATCATAGTAGTTACAAAAGCTGCTGCCTCTTTTACAGTTGTCAGCAATTCTCTTTTTTCTTCACATCCTAAATTCCTGACATCAAAAGGGCAATTTTCAGAAGACTCAGATTGTCCAGAAGTACAGTCATATCTTCTTTCATGTGAGGAAGTGTAGGTTCTTACAGGTAATCTCCTTGTTTTCTCTGAACAAGATAAAGGCACATCTTGCTTTCTTTTAAGGGGAGCAGTTACAATCTTTTCACACTCCTTCTGGTTTTTGTCTTTTACTGCAAGATTTCTTTCTCGATATCCCCATGTTGGCAAGTTTATATCCTGGTAACAGTGCGCTCTTTCGGTATCTTGACAGCAAAGCATTTCACTGGTGTGTAATGTCCTGGCTATCTGACCAGTGTTACTTATTTCAGAGCTGGCAGATGTTTTTAGTATAGCAATTGTGGACTCATGAAACTCCTGGAAAAATCGGGAATTATTCAGTGAACCAATTATTCAACTACTTAGGGGTAATATAAATAAACTCACATGAGTTCATTTATATGAGCTTTGAAGGAAGTGTTATTCCTTGAAAAAAATGTTGATACTAACAGAGTTAGTTTAGGGGAAGCACATTACATCAACCAAAATTCACATATTTATCAGTAAGATTATTTTATTGATTTATATTGCTTATATCCAAACCCACCACTGTTTGCTTGGGGTTTAACCAAATATTAGTCCAACACTAAAAATGGCATATAAACAACTAGATGCATCTAGTCCAGGAGTCAGCCCTCCATGGTGACTAAGTTACTGGTGGCCTTTGAAGAGAGAAAAAAAACATTCATCTCCATCTTTAGCTCAATATTCAGAGCATTTTTCATGACAGCTTCATTTACTGAAGGGACCATAATGGCTGCTTTGGAAATTCAAGTACACTGAGTCAACTGGCTCTCCACCAATTTCTTCAAACAACTTGCAAGACTAAGATGTAAATAAAATGTATATGAAAGTTGCACTGAAGATGTATTATCACAAGTATGATTATTTTATTCTATTCCACTTAACCCACTATGCCCAGAACAGCTTTCCTCCTTCAGACAGTCCCTGGATCCCTTTACAGCAGCATGCTATTAAAGAGCATTAAGCAAGAAGTTGCATGTTAACATCATGATTTTACTCCTTCATCCTGGATTTCCTTCAGAAATTTCCTCACTATGACACTGGCCCTAATATTACCTTACTGTTTATTTTGTTAGTTTCTTTTACAACCTCTTCAGCTGAGATAGATCCTCTGTCTTCATTTCATAAACAAGGAACTCTGGAATAGCAGCTGGCAACCTTTGCAAGATCCCCCAAGGTAAATCTCTGTTTAACTATTTACAGATATATAGAGTTGTATCTTCCCTCAATACTCCTCTTAAGCCTCGATCATCAACAGGTCTTACAGGAGCTGGCAAGCTTTTGACTCCTGAGCATTTGGAAAGATGATGGATTATTAGGGATGCATTTGCAAGCTGCTTCTCAAAGTTTACTGGGACTATACTATTATATTTACATTTAACTTACTCAAATGAGGTAACTATAAAAGAATACAAATACCGCCAAGTTCAGCATTTTGCATGATGATGTTCTTAGTGGTCTACTTCACACTGTCATTTAGCCACACTTCCTTTTTCCTGGCCAGATTTTAGTATTCGTTTTAAGTCTCCAATATTCTGTTCTGAATAAATACTTATACTACCTACAAATGTTTTGGCTTTGGAGGGCAAATTCCATTTATTTTCTTTTAAAAGCTCCTTCATTTTTTGAAATTACACATTCCTATTATGACTTATCTTTTAATCTTCAGAAAGATTACAGTCCCTGACAGAGCTTCCTTCAACATGAAGATTTTGAACCTGATTTCACACAGAATCAAATACAACACAATTTATCTCGTGAGTTCTCCAACTGTTACACAAAGTCGCTGTCTCCTAATTCTTAAGTCTTAGCATCATACATAAGCTTAATATTCACCCACTCCACTGAAAAGCAACTGAAGCCTCTAATAATGACTGTATTTTCTGCTCTTGGAGCAGAGTCTCCTTCAGTACCTCTGCTGCCATTACCATTCCTAAAATCAGGGCCTTTTCACTTCAAAGGAACCACAAGTTACTGCTGTGCAAGGCTCCCATCCATTCCCCCACAATGACAATATTCACTGATCAAAGGGTGTCGTCCATTTCTACTCCATCTGTATCGACTGAGTAAACCAGAATGAGAGAGCCAGTAAGTTGCTGAGGGGGTGTTCTGGTTTTGCAATATTCCTCAACCCAGTTCCTGTGCTCCCAAACCTCAGAACTACAGTCAAAAGATGAAAAAGGCTTATATTGCTTGAGATCATACTTTACAGGATTAACTCTACAGCAGAAATACAATTAACAGGTTCCAAGTAAATATAAAAGGGGAGCTAACAAGGCTTTTGCTATTACCAAAATGTATAGTGGTTGTTCTGAAGCCAAATTACTTGGATTTAGGCAATGCTAATCAAAAACTGCACACTGTAAGAAGTTGCCATAAGTGGAGAAATAGTATCACAGAAAGACCAAATGTTAAAGAGCTGTAGAAAGACAACTAATTCGCTCAGCTGTATTCTCCAGGCAATGCAAATAGTTGCATCGTTTAACACAGTAGAATTTGAATTGGGACACTCAAGTAATTATAGAATGAGGAATAAGCGTTTCTTTTTTAGAGGTTCAAAAATAAGAACATAGCAATTTAATTATCAAGTCAGAATAATACAGTTGGAACTACAATTAACCACAGAGAGAAGCAGCAGCTTCTAGGAAGAACTAGAGAAAACAACTCCCAGGATGTAGTTTCACAATTTATGTGGATCTAGGAAAATTTCATTAGATACAGTGAGTCAAAATTAGCACCCCATCCCCAGAAAAAGAGCTTCCATTACTATCCATGTGCATCCACAGCTGCATGTCTACCTACAAGCCAATTTAATTTGCAGGAAACCATCTCAATCTCACAAAGCTAACTGGTTTTCTGCATCTTGAGCAACCTGAATGGACAAAATGTGCAACATGCACCAGTCAGAGTTAAGGAAGGCTGTGAAATTACCATCTGGGACAGGGGTAGTACACTTGCAGTATCTGCAACTCACTGACCAACTCAACGGATCTTGCAATTGCAGCCTGAATTGGTGCTCCATTCTCATTCCTACACTTGCTGTCACACACAGGTATATTAAACCAAATTCAGAGATGATTAAATCAAAAACTAAGCTTCCTAATACAAACTAATTTTTCATATAAATCAGCTCACATTATGATTATTTGTTAGTGATTGCTTAGTGACAGATGTTTGAGAACCTTTTTAAACCTGGAACTACCTAAACGTGGCAACCTTATTTATTTCTAACCAGCCTGTCAAAAATAACTTGCAATAAAAAAAGGTAACAGAAGTGGGGACAAGACTCTCATAGGTAAATAGATGCCAAGTGCAAAATAAGGCAGGGGAAAGTTAATTAGGAGTGCATACATTATATTGTAATAAAGCTTGTTATGGAAGTGCCAGTCTATACCAACTTCGAACCTGCTATAGAAAGACTGCTTTTAGTGGTCTTCAATCTTATAAAATGCTTGCCTTTTCATTTTTCAGATGTGTATCCTTATAACCTAGTTTATTGTCCTTTGTCTTCTCTATACCTTTAAAAAAAAGAACGAGAAACATTTTACACTACAGGTGAATCTGAGAGCAGCACGTATTACTTCAGATACACATACAGTGTTACATTACTGACAATGCTACCAAACCTAAAGTAATTGCAATAAAATTTTCCATGACAACCATTTTCCTCAAATTAATACCATTCATGCTTAAAAGGGCCCTGCAGGTTCCTAAATATGTGCTCTGCCCCCATTAAGAAAAAATTAATTCAAATTTGTTATAAAGCAAACATTTTCCACAGTATTAAAAGGCATTATGGTAATACCATAAATATTCATCTTTCCTTCCTTAAAGAAAACAGATCCATCTTGGTCTCTTAAGCAGTTTAACTGTTTTCTTGGAATTAGGCACAATAATTTTCTTCAGCAAAACATTATTTGCTTATACATCTTTAGCATACCGTACCCTACAGAGAACTGACCATGCTTCATCTGCAAAGCATAATCTTTTTTCCCATTCCTCATCCTTGTAGTAAACAGGTATCACAGGACCAGGCAAGAACAAAAATTCAGAGCTGCCAAACTGTGCCCCAGTACAGCTGCCAGCCTGGCCCACCACTAAGCCACCGGTGACATTTACCACACAGCACTAAAAGCAGAGATGCTGTAGCATAAAAGCTGCTTTGCAAATGCACCTCAGGGCTCTGCACCTTGCTAAATGAGTCAGGACATGCCTTCTCTTTTCTGTCCTCAACACTGCCCGACAGCCCCAAGAAGAGAAGTGAAGACTGCAATAAAAGAAGGAGCAACAGGCCAGCAATATTTGGGGGTCTCTCCAGATTTTGCAATTAGTTGGGATTCCTTTATCTCCAGATTCTTTTATTGCCCAGCTCATGGGGACACCTCATGGGTAGAATATGCATTTTGTTCCCTCCTGACTTCTTTTCCATACCAAGTCAAATACTCCACTACTCTTTTCAGCTATGAAATTTGGACTGCCAGCAGTAAGACACTTTCTGAACCTAATGTGGTGATGACCAATGTCAAACTGATCATAAGATGATCTATCTCTATTTACTGAAGCTGTTAAAAAAAGAAAAAAAAAAAAAAAGATACCTAGGCAAATCAGGACCCTGTACTTAAAACACTCAAAAAAGCATTTTCAAAGACTAACTAGCTTAGTCTCCATAAGAAACTAAGCTTACTATAGTATTAAATGCAGGTTCATACTGGTTTATGTGTATAACCAGTTATTTAACTCCAGCTCAGACTTTTAACCTGAGCTGTTACAACAGTGAATCTGGCTGCAATTGTAGCTTCACTTTAGGTTTGTTTTTCATAACACTTCCTACAACAATAAAATTATAATTAAAGAATGACAGTGACTGAGTTTATATTCAATACTTTTCATTGTTTCATACATAGACATTTTTTCTTGACAAATTCACTCTCCAGAGAAGATGATGACAACTACATTTCTCTCTTTCAGCACTCAGTATTCAGTGTGGCGGTTATCTAAAGAGCTATGCAACCTCAAATTGCTAGTTTATGAAAAAGTATCACCAGATGGCAGTAGAAATCCATCCTTGCCTCCTAACTCCTTGACACTACACGGAACATTACAAGCTCTACTGTTAAGGTAACCAGAGAATTTCACCCACTAGTTCAACAGTGCAAGTATTTGTCCCTATTGAACCCAGTATTTAACTTCCAAAGAGAGATTTTCCAGTAAGCAGAATTTAATCTTTAAAGATATATCAATCAAACAGAGTTCATTAAAGTTTGAAACAGACCAATTAACATGACAGGGTTTTAGTTGGGTTTTGATTTTTATCTTAAGGGAGGCAAACCTTTTCTTCTCTGCAGATCCATGTTGATCCAGCTAAAGAGATAGATATATATATATATACACACACAAACAATTCCCTTAAAACAATTCAAATAAAGTTTGCTCTTAAAGCACTAGAAACAAACATAATCACTATATGGAAAACAAAAGCAAGAAAAGCCAGTCATGCGACCTGCCACCACTAAATGCTTATCCTGTTCTTACACTCCCTAGGGAATAAGGATTTCACAGCACTACAAGGACAGCAAGTTCATTTGACTAAAGATACCAGACACCTTCAGGGTGTTTTTTACAGCTTGACATGGAATGAATGGATCAAGAGTGGCCAAGGTCACATGGCAGAGATATCACACAGCACAGAGTTCTACAGTCTATGACAAAAAACATCACACAAGAAAATTAAGGAAAGGAAAATGACACAATAGCAAGAAAAGTGAAACAGTAATTAAACTGAGGCAGAAGAAGGATCAGATTTTCTTTAAAATAATGTGGGGTTTGGTCCAAATGTACCATTTTAAAATGAACCCACCTTCTGTATTTAAAGTATCACTGATTTACGCAGCAATGAACTATCCTTTTCAGTGCTCCACCATCAGGATCCACTCATCCATTACTTTGCCACTGAAAGAACCACCTGATCTGTTATTTAATAAACCAGAGGCTGCAACAAACGCCATGTACACAAGGACAAGTGCTAGATCTAAATCGCCTTGACCAGATGTGCCAGGATCTAGTTCTCAGGGGAAAATAGACAACTGAAATTAAGCAAAGCTCTATCTACTTCTTTCCAGAGCTACATTCTGTGAAATGCACAGAATTGAGAATAAAAATTCCATCTTGCAAAACCTCCATAGTATCCACAACATTCTGACTAAAATTTGCTCAACAGTCAGAGATCTGCTGAAGCATTTCTAACATTAGCTAATTCACTCTATCTCTGGGACTTCTATTCACTCTTCACCCTAGAATTTCACAAGGAGCAAGTTGCTAATGAACATGTGTTCAAATGACAAACATGAGTCTGGAGAGTTTACAGGCCTTCTGGCAAGTTCTCAGTATCTCTAGTGATCTTCAAATATCTAGTCCAGAGTCAAGTTACTGTATACATTGAATTTACAGTATTAGTTAATTGACGGTTTGAAATTCTCATCTAATTCTATACCACTTAGCAGGGACAGGAAATAAAACAATGAAGTTGAGGATACCGGTAATATCCTACCTAGTTCTTTGCACTTGTATAGTATTACTCAATCAGAAAAGCCCCAGCAAACGTCACAGTTACAGCTTAACTCCTTTTCTAACCCTGGAAATCTAAACGCTCACCTTTCTCTACCTTTTAAATAGGGACCATAGATTTGATACCGGTTTATTTGTTTGGGTTTCAATTTTTCAATTGAAAATGGAAATGCTTAAATAGGCTGAGATTTACTCACTCTGGTTCTTTTTTCTGCTAGTCTGAACTTCTACAGGAATAGATTGCAAAGCTGACATAATTCTCTGAGCGCTATCAGATAAAGGCACTTTAGAAATCTCACATCCTATGTATGATGTGTACTGTTCCATTTTTAAGATTAAACCTAAACAGAAAACACATGCAAATAATGCATTATATCAGAGCCACAGAACAACCCACACTTCAATTATTTTGAAATTACAAAATACAGTGCACATGTCACTTTCTATTGAGAATGAATGGCTGAACAACTCCTCTGACATTACTATCAGTTATGTATTGTAAATAAAAATCATCAAACTGCAGTAATTTACAAAAATTTACTTTGAAAGTTTTAATACATTTATAAAATCAGTCCTATTAAGTTCAGCTGATTTCCAATACAAAAACCATGACAAATAAAACAATTACCATTTACATATGAACCACCTCCCCTTCTCAGCATCTTTAAACTAGTTTTATCTAGCATGTAAATACATTTACTATTATTGCTGCCCACATTTTATCAAGAAAAAAACACTTTCAAATAACTGTCAAAACCAGAGCCAATACAGGATGAAAGAAACAGGTCTTCCTATCACAATATATATAAACATTAGTGATGTGTTGTTTCAGAAAATACTTACAGAAGACCTCTGTTTCTTAAACTTAATTGATGTACTCAAGTACTATTAAATCTTAATAATTTTGAAATAGTTACTATAGTTTGTTAATTTAAGAAACAGGTCAGCAACATCTAAAGTCTCTACAACCTTTGACCGCAGCTACTGCTGTTCCAAATTTTATCCTTTTTCAAAAAGCAGCTGCTTTTCCAGTTGACCTGTACCCATGTTCTATAATACTTACAAAATACTTGAAGAGTCCATTGATACAACACATACAGGAGAATCAGAAACAACAGTGTCCATACTGATGACTTGTTTTCTTTACGGTTAGACCAGAACAATGTATAAAACTTACCATAAAGACAAAATAAATACCCAGTATTTTAAAAATACTTAAGAGGATGCAAGCTGTACAAGTCAACTGCTCTGCCAAAATCTGCTGTTAGGTAAATTGCTGCTATACAAGTTAGTAACTGGAGCCCTATTACTCTGGTCATCTCCCACTAAATCCATTGAGACAAATGTTGCCTTGATGGTGAACCTTGACGATATTTCCTCTGCTTACATGGAAATTTTTTTCTTAGCTCAAGGCCATTGACAGATTGCAAGTTTGAATACTTACAAGTACAGATATTTGTATCCAAATTCAAAGAGGATGATCCATCAGGCTACATTAGTATTTGTTGTATCTATCCAGCTGGAATTTACAGTAAGCATATGAAAGGGAGAGAGAGGCAGAATGGCTTGCTTTGCCTTGACAGACAGAGAAAACTTTAGAGTCCAGAAGGTCAATTTAAAATTATTCTTCTTTGAAGAGCTCAGGATGAATAGGGACTGATTTCAAGGAAAAAGACAGGCTGTAAGGTAAATTAAAAGATATCGGAATGGTCTTAAAGTAGATGGTTGTGGTACTTGAAACATTCTGGTACATACTGCAACATATTTCTAGCAACACCAAATCTTCATAAGAACTATACGGGAAACAATCACGGCATATCCTGAAGAGAACTCTCCTCTTCAGAATGAGCACATTACGTTCATGTTCCAAAATCTGGAATGCCTTGTCTGTGTTTATTTGTTAGCTCACATATCAAAAGTTCTTAGCATGCAAGAAAATCTATTCCATATGCAGAAAATGTTCTTTTTTGTGCTATGCTGTGTGCACTGGAAATCAACATAAAGGCTAGCAGAAGAGCAGCCTGAATGCAATTCATTTAAATAACCAATGTATTACTCTGTATCGAAGAACTGTGACAAAACCGAGATGTGAACTCAGTGGGCAGATGCCAAAAGCCATAAAGCAGCATACAACTCAAAGCCGGTAACTGTGGCAGTTAAAACATACATCACAATGGTAGATAAATGTTAGCCTTGATAAACCAATAGTTATCATTCCATAAGCTTACAGACAGTTTACATTAACATACTTTCCTTTCTTAAAAATACACTGAAGTTTAAAAATTGAGAACTCCACTGGTGGCAAAATGCTCATCTGCCAGAGCATGGGCTTTCACCTCAGCCTGCTGCTCCAGCTTCTCCACCATCTCTTTCAAGCGATCTTCATCTGTATAAAAATACACATACAAGCTTCTTTCCATCTGAAGCAGCTTATTGGACTCTAAAAAGCTTCTCTTTGACTTCACATCAGCCATCAGATCAATAAGGAGTTTGTTTAATTTATTTACATTGGTTTCCAGTTGCTGCAACTGCTCAACAAGTTCCTAACAAAAGATACAAGACAAAATAAAAAATTACTTTTTTATTGTTAATACATTACCTGAACTAGAAATACAAAAGTTTATTTGCTTTTGAAAGCAACTTTTTTTGTAATTGAAAAGTCATCACAGATAATAGAAAGACAGGTGCTAAGGAATTCCACTTAATTCACATAACTTTTGAGCTCTGTGTAACAGTACTCACATCAGGTTATGAAAATGTAAATTCATTTCCTTCTTTACCCAGCCTTCAGCTGGACAGATGGCTGAATGACATATTTAACAAGTCTTCCTATCTTACAAGGGAACAGAAAAAACACCCCACTACAACAGAAAAGCCAATGCAATTTTAAAATTTAATCATTAATTAACAGCTACAATGTTCCCAACTGTCACTCTTAAGATAGTTCAGTGCAAGCAGGCTACTCATCTTCCACATTATTTCCTTATTAAAGGAATTGCTTTTCTTAAGAAACAGCAGCAACAGAGATGTCACTGTTTTAAGAGGCAATGTGAATCAACAGAAAGGCATTTGATTAATAACCTATAATCCCTAAACACGTATTGCTCCAATCACAGTTTCATTTTGTTATAAAAACTCTTCTATATGTTGCAAATACACTTGACAGATGGCAGCAATAAACGTATTTGTGTGTATTTAACCAAAGAAGTATAATGTAACAGAAGACTACCTCAATCCACCTTTGAGGTATCTACAATAAAAAAAAAGTAACAAGTTGCATTTAAGTACCCCAACTCCCATTTAAAACAGGCTCTGAATCTATCAGCTGGGAGCTCTGCAGCAGGGTTGCCCTACTACAACTGTCCTTCAAAATTCTGATGCTGTTATATTGTCCAAATGAGCCACCTATGGCCAGGCTTTTTAAGGGAACAAACCATACTACTGAGGTGTTACAGGTAACTGGGGAAAAAAACCCACCTGAAAGAATGAGAAATTTAAATTGTTTTCTAGTGATACCATATCCAGATGACTTATTTCCCATACCATAAACTTGCCAGTAATACAGGACTGGATATGCCTTTGGAAGAAATGAAGTTAGATGCAACGATCTGCTCAGTAACAAGAAATCACTATCTGCCAACACCTACAAAATCCAGCATTTGCTAAGAACAAAGTACTGCACCCATCATCATTATGCCAAGAAGTTTGTCGCTGACATGTGGGAGCCAGTTTGTGTGCCTACAGCCTTCATACCATGGTGTTCTCAGGAGAAGAACATGACATATTAAGCGTAATAATTTTAGTAAGTAGATAACGGCTTACCTGATTACTGAGTTGTATTCGACCTCCTCCATGATACAGCTCATCATAAAGGGTATGTACATCACTTTCTAGCTTGGACAAAAGGAGAGACTGTTCTTGAGAAGAGGCTGCTAGCTGATCTTTTGCTGTAGCACAGTCCTGCTTTAACTTCTGAGCCATCTGCTCCAAGCCTTTGTATGTTTTAAATAATTCTTGGGTTTTATTTTCTCCTTCCAGAAGCTGATATAGCCTGTAACAAATGAAGTTAAGACACACAAACGTTTTTAAGTTTCCTAAGCAATCCTGTCATTATTACTCAAGAGAAAATGTTCATCCTGAGAAGTCAGAGGACTACTAAAGGACAATACTGCTCAGGGTACTCTTTACTCCTTCTCCCACTGATTTCATGATCCTATCTATTTATAGCTAGTATGTGATTAACAAGAGTCAAAAATATTTCAATATTAAATTAACAGCAATGAAATACCACAATACCAGTTAGTAAGCGCCAAAAGAATGCAAACAGACATTGTCAGTGTGCTCTTGCCAATTATTTCCTGATATTTCCAGGGCTGCAAAGATGCAATTTTTTTAAGTGCTGAAAACCAGCAGACTTCATTGGCTGATGTGAATTAATAGCAAACCCTTTAGGGTTTGTAACTCTTTCAACTTCCTTTTCCTTTGAAAAAGGATAAAACTAAACCAAGCAAACAAAGTGATAAATAGCCAGATGGCATTCAGCAATTTGGAAACATTAATAATAAACCTGAACAAAAATGTTACGAGTTGCCAACACAAACACAATGGAAGCAAAATTAATGCTGCCTAATTCTTGCAATTATCCACTGTGCAAGCCCATACTCAGTTATCACTTTATTATTAAAAAACACATAAAGTACAGTTTTAACAGATAGAAAGTCTGACGTTAACACACCTATAATTATACAGTACACCTCATCAAAAGGTTTAGAGTCTTGATGTGACAGCAACACAGTGCACATTCCTACTGTATCACCTGAGCTACAAGGAGACTTCATTACTTTGCTGGTGAAAAAACAGACTCCTCCGTGGGGACAGGACCCTTAAGACAGAGGGCAAATCAAGCAGTAAAAACGAGCTAAACCCTTTTCCCATATTGAAGAAGTCGTTCCTCTCTTCTACCACACGGGGGGTTTTGCAGGCTAAGCTGCTGAGGCCATGCATACGATCTGGGAAATCACTATCTTTTACAGCTTTCCAGATCTATACTTCTAGAATCACTTTCAAGAGGTTGTAGTTCAGGGCACTTATAAAAGACAGGTTTGGCTTTAAACTTCTGTTATATTCCAGATGCTGCTTAGGAATGTTTCAGCAATATTAGTAAGTCTGATAACTGAACAGTTTTGACTCAGGCAAACCTGAAAATAATTTCAAAGCATAAGCAAGAGGCTAGTCTCATCTTGAAGTTCTTCAGAATTCAAAATACTAATTAGCAAGTAACTAAGAACTCAGAAAGACTAAAGGCTTAGCTTGCCTAAGCCTTTATTTCCCCAATATTATGTCAAAGTTCAAGTGACTATAAAGCTTACCTGAAAGAGAAACCATCCTTTGAACTAATAGTGTTTCTTGGCTGTGCATGTTTAATTTGCTCAGTTTTCTCCTGTAGGCTCTGTTGCAACTCATCAGCGCGCTGTTTTAGAGATTCTACCAACTTCTCGAGTTGACAGGAGATCTTCTTATTTTTCCTAAACTCCATTTCACAGTCTAGCTGAATAAGTTCAAATGATGCCTTCTGTCTTATCAAATGCCTGAATATTTCATTTTGTCTTGAAGCACAATACTCTTGCTGAGCAATCTGATGCTCCAAGTAGCATTTCTCCACAGGCATGCTCAGAAGTGATGCCTTCTCCTTCAGAAGGGGCATCAGCTCTTCATTGTTTATCCGAGTTATATCTTCTTTAATTGCTGAAATTTCATCACTTAAACTAGGTATTTTGCCAGTGAGGTTTTCTTGTTCCCCAATATCCTGCATAAAACAAAATATGTCAGTATCTTCCTGGTTCCCTCCAAGCCACTTTCCTAACATATTTATGCAGTTCATCCAAGATTCACGTACTCGTGTTACATCAAAATCACTGCATCTTTTCTATCTATAAATGAGAACTTCACAGGCAGTTTTATAAAACTTTACAACATAAGGCAAATACAACGTAGGTATCAAATAAATGTATTTCAAAAAAAAACAGTAATTTCATTCTTTTGCAGGGCCAGGAAACACTTATTCTGTTGAAAACAGAAGAGCTGTATTTTCCTTGGCACCTAGGTTTCAAGCATGTTTGACTAAGGGGAAATCCTGCCTGACCAGTTTGGTGGCCTTCTATGATGGGGCTACAGAACTGATGGACAGGGGAAGAGCAGCTGATGTCATCTACCTGGACTTGTGTAAAGCATTCGACACTGTCCCACACGACATCCTGGTCTCTAAATTGGAGAGACATCAATTTGATGGATGGACCACTCGGTGGGTAAAGAACTGACTGGATGGCCACACACAGAGTTGTGGTGAATGGCTCAATGTCCAGCTGGAGACCAGTAACGAGTGGTGTCCCTCAGGGACCAGTGTTGGGACCAGTCTTGTTCAACATCTTTGTCGGTGACATAAACAGTGGGATCGAGTGCACCCTCAGCAA